TCCGTACGATGGCATATATATTTTCTCACTTCCCAGTCTTTCATTTGAGTTCCTTCTTTTTGTGCTTGCTTTAATTTGTGTGAAGTATGTATTCAGCACGTGAGTGCACATAATATCCTGAAGAAGGAAAAGTTTTAAATAAGGGTCACAAGAGACCATTTTCGTCCTGGCTAATTTATAACTCATACAATTGTTATGTTTATTTTTGCCTGACAGAGTCTGTTTGGTTTTACTGACTCCTTTTTAATTCTACTTTTTCCGTTTTTTCCCGGAGTGATGGGCCTGTTAATAGGGAAAACAGAAGTGAATGGAGAGAGACTATGAAATTGGTAGCACGCACCACTTTGGTGCGGAGTGAAGTTGCAATCATTACGCTAGGCTGCAACTTCAATATCAACCTGTGTAATTTGATGATGTCTACTAATAATCTGATAGTGTGAAATAATATAGTGAATTCCATCTTAAGGAACATAAAACCTATTTAGTTTGACTAAGTTGTGTCGTCTCAGTTTTTCATTTTGGTAATTCATGTTTCCAACCTGAGTGGTTTGAGTTTTTTTTTTGTTATTTAGCTAATTTTATTTAGTAATTCGTATACTAGATTCTCATGTGGTTATTGGGAGGAGAAAAATCTTGATGACTTATAAGATGATGTTTGGTTAGAAAAATAGCAAAGTTATTTGTGGCTTCCTAAAATATTTTATCACAATTTTCTTCTCGTCATGCAGGCCCTTCAAACACACATTGTTGTGTACATGCATAAAGATTTTCTTATGAGTTCTTACTACAAAAATTGTTTTGTTTGTAGACTTCACCTATGAGAGTTCCAGCAAAACAATTTCTTGCTGTGCGTGCTCTTGGTGCTCCTGCATTTGTAGTTTCCTTGGCCCTTCAAGGCATATTCCGTGGATTTAAGGATACAAAGACTCCAGTCTTCTGTTTAGGCAAGTTTTGGATCCTTGGCTATTTAAGTGTTAATAGTTCTTGTCCAATATCCTTTCTGCTGATTTCATTTATGCAGTTTTGACATAGAAATTCCAACTTTTGGGTATCCTAAATTTGTGGCAGGCAATGTTCCCTTCAATAACGTTCTAATTAACCTGGAACACCTTTGTCATCTAAGTCATATATATCTTCTCCTCTAATCACTGTATTCTTAACTTAATTGCTTATTTGCACTTGAGTTTGTTCAGTGTGTATACGGATGAAGGTGGAAAATGGAAATATTTCCTTTATCACCTCCAGTTTTGGACCAAAATTTTTACAGAATAATATTTATATATTACTTTAAAATATGTTTGTATGCTTAATGTACTCATAAACTTACAGTCATGTAAACTTTGTTTGATCCCTAAAATAATAATATTGTGATAAAAAAGTTAAATCGGAGGGGATAAAATCTAAAGCTTTTTTGATAATGAAATACTATCTGATCAATGTTTATTGTTAAATAAATAATTGGACAGTGTAAAAGATTCTTGTGTAAGTATTATACGGGAAAAATGCCCAAAAAGATAAGTTTTTCCTCCTCTTCTTAAGGATGTCTGTAAATGCAATTTGCTGTAATTACAAATGCAATTCTTTATCGTTCCTAGATATGTTAATGGAGCTAAAGTTGTACCTTTGTGATGATATAGCATATTATTTATGCAGGCATTGGAAACTTTGCAGCTATATTTTTGTTTCCCTTACTTATGCACTATTTCGGCTTGGGTGTGTCCGGAGCTGCCATATCCACTGTCATTTCACAGTTTGTACTTCTCTCTAGTCTTTCTAATCATGTTTGCTTCTCTTCTCTACTGTCTAATACTTTTGTTCTTTTTATCAATTCTCTTTATCTTTATATGGTGAAATACTTATAAGCTTCAATTTTCTAGATACCTAGTGGCCTTTTCTATGATGTGGTATTTAAATCAGAGAGTAATGATATTACCTCCACGATTTGAAGAGCTGCAATTTGGTGGCTATTTAAAATCTGGTGAGTGGTTATTCTTGAGATGTGTATTCCAAGATTCCTTCTATTTGATAAACAAGCTCACCTCTGTGCTTGTGCCACAACAATCTCTTGATGTTTATTGCATTTCATATCTGTATACTTTTCATGATAGTTAAAGGGTTCTTCTAATTTTGTATTTGTGCTGCCTTAGGTGGATTTCTCATTGGAAGAACTCTTTCTGTCCTTTTCACAATGACACTTGCTACATCAATGGCTGCCCGTCAAGGTGCTGTAGCAATGGCGGCTCACCAAATATGCTTACAAGTTTGGCTAGCTGTCTCCCTCCTCACAGATGCACTGGCTGCATCTGCACAGGTAAATTGATATAAATGAAATTCTCTTTATCGCTATGGGTCTAATTCTACTTGTAACTTCTCTTTTACTCATGTACCTCTTACATCAGAACCTATCTGTCTTTTTGTGCATGTATATTTATCCCATATGCTTATGTCTAATTCTTTTTTTTTGTTTATGGTGTGTGCTTCATGTTTGAATCGGCAACTACTTCTGGTGCTTCAAAGCTTTCAAATACCATATGTCAGATGATATATTATAGGATTCGATCAGTAATAGTTGATCTCTTGCATCTTATCACAATTTTTCAGTTTGAGGCAACTTCTCTTTACTTTGTTTCCAGACGTTGATTGCTAGTTATTTATCAAAAGGCGATTATGTGGTGGCAACTGAAATTACACACTATGTTCTAAAGGTTTGTGCTTCCCTTCTTTTTTGTGCCGTTGAGCTCTGCAAGTTTGTGAGACACTCTACACTAATAATGAATTTGGACCTATAATTTGCAGATAGGGCTAGTTGCAGGTGTGTTTTTGGCGGTTGCATTAGGTGTTTCTTTTGGCTCTTTATCTACTTTATTTACCAAGGACACAGAGGTGCTAGCTGTGGTTAGTACAGGTTTATTGGTATGTCTTTAAACCTTTGGGAGTATTTGGTTAAATTTAATTTGTCAGTGATTTACATTTACCTATGAGTAAGATGTTCTTATCTTCGAATGGTTCTCTGAAGAGTTTGGTTATTGCTCAGAAACTAAGTTTAAAATTGTAAAATTGCAAAATTGCTGCAGTTTGTCAGTGCCAGTCAACCAATAAATGCTCTTGCGTTTATCTTTGATGGCCTCCATTATGGTGTTTCAGACTTCGCTTACGCAGCTCGTTCCATGGTAAGCTTGTAGTGCATTATGATTCAATACTTACCAAGTATATATATTTATATTCACAAGTCGTGTTCTTTCTTTGGCATACAGATGTTGGTGGGGGCAATATCATCTGCATTTCTGCTTTGTGCTCCTAGACTTCTTGGTCTTCGTGGTGTTTGGTTGGGATTGACCCTTTTCATGAGCTTACGCATGATGGCTGGGTTTATCAGGTAATGGATACCCTCCATCTTCCTCCTTTTTGCATGCCAATTAGAAATTTGCTTTTGCGGGATTACATTTGTGGTTCCATTTTTTTCCTGGACTAGATTCTTCTGGTGCTATCTGTACTGTTCTTTGTCTGTGTTCTGTGAGGTATTTTCCATTGATTCAGCAATAAACACTGTTGTTATCAATTGGAGGTTTTTAATGAGTTAATGTTAGATATGCATAATGTTTCAGGAATTCTAGATGAGCACTGCTTGTGTTAGTAGTTTGGATAACTGAAATTTTCAAATTTCCAGTTATATTACATGCTTTATCACAAAGCATTTTTACGTTCAGGTTATTGTCAAAGAAAAGTCCTTGGTGGTTTCTGCATCGTGACACAGATGAAGCTATGGTTAGTAGAATTCTCATTTCGAAGGTATAGCAACAAAATTTTGATGAAACTTCTTTATCCCCGCATAACAAATTCCTACATTGTTGTCTCTGCATGACAGTCGCTGTATGTACTGTATTACAGTAGTTGCATAACTAATTAATTAGCACAAACCTGAAAATATAGGGATGTCAGCCAATTGTCTTATCTGATGCAGTTTTGAAATGATGGTCTGCTATCTTAGCACTAAAGAAATGAAAATCCTGCTTCTGTCATTCCTGGAATGATGATGTAATAATTACCCACGCACAATGACCAAATTTTAACCGAGTACTTGGTATATTCAAGTAAAGTAATAATATGCTTTTAATTAACTGGGACAAACCTATTTTATCATTTATAAACTACACAATGCCATTATAATCCATTGACCTTTTCTTTCTTTATTTTTTGTTTACCTTGTATCCAATATTATTCATCCAAAATTTTTAAGATAGTCCAGTGCTGCTAATCAGCTGATAAATGTTATTTTCTGTTTATTAACTTTATCTTATTCTGCGTTCTCTTTCAGGTTATTAGTTGAGTGGATTAGATTTCAGACCTTTGAAACTTACGAAACCTCCTTTCATATTCCTGATTAACTCAACTTTCTTGGATGTTGTCTTTTTCTCTGAAAATAGGATTGCTGAGTCTCTATCCTCCATGGGTACTTGCTTTCTTAGTTATTGTTTTTCCTTTATTCCCTCCTCTTAAGTTATTTTCTGGGGGGTGGTGGATGTTCGAAGATTCATCATGACTGCAATAATGCCTTGTGGCTTGGTCTGTCCTATGTACATAAGTTGCAACATCTGTATATATATACTTATCGGCATTACTTCCTTATGTACCATGTAACTTTTTGCTTTTAGAGCAAAATGTTGAGCATCTTGGCTAAGAAGTCAGCTTTGCTAGAACTAAAGGAAATAAAAAAGGTTAATTTGAGCATCCCTTGAATTTCTTGAGGTCAATCAATCCCTAATGATCTTGCAAACTTGCTGTACACAAAATACATGTTGAATCGCCTTTCAATGACTATCTATGGGAAAAATAATTTGGATGTGTTCAATGAGTTTTGTAGTGTTTGGTTCTCTGTGTTAACCTACCTGTGGATTTTTATATCCAGCTTATCATATTGAAGCCTGCGAGAACAACACTGTTGTATTGTCATTCTACCTTAAGTTTGTTTTAGTGTAGCCCAGATTAAAAGGAACACAGCATGAATGAATGTCAAGCTGGCTTTGGTGGGTGGAATTATTATTTTCAATGAGAAATGACAAATCACACTTTTAAGACGGTAAAACAACGGTGAGGAAGAAGTAAAAACACAAAAGAGAAAGCCCAGGAAGGGGAAGTTGGGTGCTGATCTTATATTGGGCCTGTGTAATCCATTGGTCCGTAAGGTTCAAACCACTCAGCCCAAAGACCCTTTTTCCTCTTAGGATTCCAGCCCATGTCCTTGCAGAGTTGGTCGTTGTGCCAAATATGCAGTGCACCGATGCATGATTTCCTGTAGTACTTCTTTGAGTATCTCTTCTTATATTTATCCCATTCCGCTATGTCTTTCTCCATCATCTTTATGCTAGGCAGCTTGAATTTTCCATCAAGAAGCTCTGTCAGCCATCGGCACCTTATTTCTGAGGTGTATAGATTTGCTATGCTTTCTGAGAATCCAATAATTGCCAGTTGTGGAATTTGGGGATGAATGCATTCCCTGATAATAAGTCAGATTATAATTATTTAACACAACAAGTATATATCATTTTCACAGCAAGTGTTGTTTTATGTATTACTGACCTATAGAGGGGAACTGCAGCAGAATCGTCTGAGCCTGCTATGAGTTGCTGATATTTTGGTGATTCAAAAATGTGTTTGAGCTTATCAATTCCCTTGAAGCCTGTGGCGAGTATGACTAAGTCAGATTTAATGGGTTCAGCCTGACCCTCAAGCACAATGCCTTGTTTAGTAAATCCAAAACTCTTAGCTTTCTTGAGTTTGAGACGTCCTTCCTCAACTCTGTCGTAGAAGCCCTGAGGCACTGTAGAAATTAAGCACGCACTCAATTCATTTAAGAAACTATGATCTGGAACCATCCTGTGCTTTGAAAGCCTGAGCTTGTGTTTTATATAGCTTTCCACAAACTTTGAGAAGCCCCACCTCTGTAAAATCGATCAATAATATGAATTAGAGTAATAATATTTGTAGTAGTAGATGAGTTTTATTAGATAATAAGAGGAATTACCAGAGGTGAGAGAATTGTAGCAATGAGATATAAAAGAAGGCCTTCACCGGGTTTATGCACTGTAAGTTCTGAGAATCTATTCAAATAGAGTTTTGCCATTGGGAATCCCCAGGGGAAATAATCAGGAACGTTCCAATGTGGTGTCCTGATTATTACGGTGCACGGACGTTCAATCCCTGCAAAATTGATTGTTACTCTTTAAGAGTTACGTTGATGGAAGAAACAAAAGCTGAATTCATGTCTTACTACCATTTACTGTGGAGGATTCCATGGCAATGTCCAGTCCTGATTTTTGGAATCCAACGACGGCTACATGTTTTCCTTTGACAAAGTCGGTTGCAGTTGTGGAGTCCATCTTTGAATAATCCATTGAATGAATTACTTTGCCTTCAAAAGCTTCAGGACCTTTGTTTTCAGGGAATTCGGGTATGTTTGGGACTTGACTGAACTTTCCCACACAAACTACTACATAATCAACTTGGTATACCTGCATACATTGAGTAATCAGAGGGATGCGTATTAATTATGTTTTGAAATTTAAGTTTGATTAGTAGTGGTTACCTTTATGGATAGGGTTGGAGTGTGTTGTACAGTAACGTTCCATTTGCCTTTAGACATCCATTCTCCGGTTGATGAGTCACCATCGCCTTCATAGCTAAGGCTCAATACTTTGTTATTGAACTGAATGTGTCTCACCAAATCAAAGTGACGTGCATACGATTCAATGTACTCCAACACGGTGTGTTGATCGGGGAACACTTCCGTTACGGAATCAGGCCAGGGGAAATCAGAGAATTGGTAAAGGGGTTTTGGTGTCTGCAGTTTAGTGCTCTCAATAGTCTTACTCCAAACACCTCCAATGCTACTTTCTGACTCGAAAACAATTGGATCAAATCCTTTGGAAATTGCATATTTGCAGGCCAAGAGGCCGCTGATTCCACCTCCAATTATTGCTATCACCTCCTTCCTTCTCCCATCACAATTTGCCATTCTCTTCTCTCTCACTAATATAAATGTGCCGATTGAATGTTCATTTTTTGGAATACCATTTACACTATTTATAACACTACTGGCCCCATCATGATTTCATTCACTTCTTAGGGCCTGTTTGGATTGGCTTTTGGCTTATGGCTTTTGGCTTATTTTTGTTATTTTGGCTTTAAAATAAGTGCTTATAAGCACTTTTTAACTTTACCTAAATACTTCAAAACTGCTTAAAAGCTATTTTGGCTTAAAAACACCTAAAATAAGTCTATCCAAATGGGCACTTAACCAATAATTAATCTTATATTGATTTGACACAGTTCTTAAGAAAAAATTTAATAGAAAATATAGATACCGAGTAATATGAGATGGAAGGAATATTTTGTTTTTTTTGGCTAACCATGAATAAATATATAAGTATCCAAAAACTAGTGCTTGGCCAGGTCGATTTAGACAAAACTTGATACTTTACCATATATTTTACTAGCCCTCGATTTCCTCATTGTTTTATTACACTTGATTCGATTTTATTTTTAAAAAAAAGACAGTTAGAACGTGATTGTGAATGCTTTCATTTTCTACATTTATTGAACAATTAATTGGTGAAAATCGTACCATCATGGTCCATTTTTCCAGGTGGCGATTTTCCATGGTATGATTCGATTGTTATTTTATATCCTCTCAAATTTTGCTTTAAAACTCTCCCTTCACTTTGAACAATATAATTAAACTTCTCACTAGTTCCATTGACTTTTAACCAATAATTAATTTATAAAATTATTCTCTCATTTCATACTATGATCCATGTTAAGTGACACAATTCTTAAGAAATTTTTTATTAGTGTGTATTTTTACTAAATTAAATACTTAAGAAATTTAAATTTGACTATTACTATTTTATATAGTTATTTAATATAAAAGTAAAAAAGGAAAAATATACAATACAACACTCTTGATTTTTTAAATTAGACAAGTCAAATAAAATATTAATTTTTTTTTATAGAAGTCAAGTAATATTTGAAGTTAAGAGGCCTAATGTAACTACACTAACTACTTTTGTGTGTATTTAAAGTTTTTCACAGTTAAATCAAAATATTTATTGATTGTAAGATCCGTATATTGTATAAAGTAGAAGATTTTTTTAATGCACCAGTAGCTTAATTATCCACAAGTGACCTCCATTATTACAGATTTCATTAAATGAAAAGAAGTACTCCAATCTTTTATTTCTGATGAATCTTTTAATTGAGTTTGAGTACAGAAATGTGGATATGAATTGGGCGGATAGAAGAAAATTTGAAGGATTGAAATTTAAATTTATCCCGTAGAAAGATGCTACATAATAATTAATAATAATAGTAATTACAAAAAAATTGTATTAGTTTTAAGGGAAATGAATTTTAAAAAAATGGATTGAGAGGTTTCTTAATTCAATAGGTGAATTAGAGATATATTTATATATTTTTTGAATAATCAGGAGTATTTTTGGTTCTTTTCTATAGTTTTATTAGCCTCGGTTTCCCCAGTGTTTTATTATACTTGGATTCTCAATTACAAACATTGTTAGAACGTGGTTGTGAATGATTTTCGTAACATCATGGTCCATTCCAGCTTGATACCCCATTGTTTTAGTTATTTTATTTTTTATAATAAAAAATAATTCTTCTGAAATCGTCCGATTATCTCGATTTCTCTTCAAATGGTACTGTCCGATTAATTTATGATACTATTTTTGAAAATTAATATAGAAGTTAGAATACCTACCATGTATATTGTGTAGGACTTTGACAAAATTGTCTAAGCATTTTATTGTTTAAAAGGTGATGAATCAAGAAAAAACATGAAAGCAAATGAGAATAAAGATTTATTGATTATTTTATGGTAGTATAAAATAATTAAAAAAAACAACCATAACAATTATAATTTAAATCACACTAGCGAAAAGAAATCAATAATTAAGATGAAAAATTTAAGAATCGAGTCTACTTAATTTAAGTATCCGATAAAAAAAACTAGAAAAAAAGAGAACGAAAGGAAAAAAATCTACTGACTTGTAGCTTGTTACCCTAAGATCGTTGGAATATCTAGTAGCTTACTAGTTACTAATTGAGAGTAGAGTAGCTAAAACTAATTTAGTTTTAATCGGAATCATATCATATATCATATATATATATATATATATATATATATATAAAAAAAGCTAAATAAAAAAGAAGTGATGTGGCACCTCTCAATGGCTCAAGGATCTTATTTATCTTTTTTGTGATTTTTTTGACATTTGCTCTAGTTTTCTTCAATTATTTATTTTATAAAACCATCTCCTTAATTCATACCTATTCAATTAAATAAATTCAAATCTTAATTAATTTAGTAATATATATAACTCCTAACCTTTCATATTCATAACCTTTAATACAAATTTATAACTCCTAAATATTACACTTATAAAAACCTATTTTGAGACATGTATGATGATTAAATATTTTTGCATAGTTTGATTTTGCAGGAGAGAGATGTATAAATGTTACTCCCTCCGTTTCAAAAAGATTGGTCTGGTTTGACTTGGCACGAAGTTTAAGAAATTAAAGAAGACTTTTGAATCTTGTGGTCCTAAATTAAAGTTATGTCAAATGTACAAAATTGCCCTTAATCTTGTGGTCTTAAACATGCCACGTGGAAAGCAAAAAGTAAAATGTTACCAAAAAAGGAAAGAGGTCATTTTTTTGAAACTGAGTAAAAAGTAAAGGAGGTCATTCTTTGTGAAACGGAGGGAGTAAATATTTTTGCATAGTTTGATTTTACGAGGTAAAAGATTTGACATATCTAATACTTATAATTATCACTTTTTTCTATTGTAATTATACATTTAATTTTATTTTGGATTCTTGATGATACAAATCATGAATTTTTCGTAGAAAAAATAATTTGTTTTTTTTTCTCTTTATAGTTTCTTGAGATTTTTTCTTTGCTTATTCTTGTAGTTTCTAACGACTCTGATTGTTTATACTCTCTTCGTCTCTTTGTAGATTTTGGAGAATTAAATTTTGTTATGTTGAGAACATGATCTTTCTTTCCTCTTCAAACCATAACTAAATATTCTTTAATATTTTTGCTTGATTAGTTCACTATATTTTTATTTTTATTTTTTTGTTGTTATTGTAAGGATTGTTTATAGTTCTCTCGCCAAATCTCCATGCTTTTATTTCAAATAAAAGCATTTGCTCTTTCGGCATCTCATTCGTTTGTCCAACAACATCTTCTTTCTCAAAAAGAAAAAGTCGGAACCCGGTTTTGACACCCCTAAACAATAGCAATTGGTTCCTTATAAACTTAGTTAATTGAAAAAGTGTCAGTATATCTCTAACAAAAAAAGTAATATTTCAAATCTCAATATAAAGTATAATAAATACTAAATATTGCACACAAACATGTTATATATAAATATATAGAGAGAGTATAAAAAGAATCCTCAATTAAATTATGAAAAAAATCATACAATTCAACTAAAAAAATAATTCATTAACCATATGAGTCATTAAAACCAATACAATGTTATATATTTATTTTTGTCAAAAATATCATCAAACTAATTATTTTTCTTATATAGCAAAGAATCAAATAAATCGATTCCTATTACAATTTCATATGTCACAATCACATAACAACGATATGGTAAAAATACATAATTTTAACCCTAAATTCTTAATTATATTATTTAAATATAAAAATTATTTATAAGTCAAAAAGTTGTTTCACAATTTTGAGAATTCAATTAACAAAAAATCAACTATTTTTTAATTTTATTTTATAACATCCGCAACTTACTTTTTTTGACAAATTTAAATTTTTTCTATTCCTTTAGAGTAACTTTTTGATTCTCTGCCCCTTTTTAATTTGTTTTTAATTAATTTTTTCCATAATAAATTTCTCTCCTGTAATATAAAATAAGAGGAAAAAATAAATAAAAATTATATATATATGGTAATGCAAAATATATTGTTCAAAATAATAGTAATTATCAAAAGTAATGTTTATTAGTAGAAGCATATTAAGAGACTTTTAATTAATTTGAAATTTCTTAAATAAGATAAAGAGAAAATATGCCATATAATAAAATTAAACCATAAAAAATGGTGGAAGAGTTTACTTAAAAGTTATTTTGTTTATTAAAAAAATATGTATGTTTTTTTACTTTTTTTCTTATTTTTATCTATTTATTTAGTTTTTATCATAAACTCACACCTCTTCATCTTTCATACCCTCTTTACTTAGTTAGTACTTATTAGTAATATCTATAACTTCCAACTTTATACCTTCATAACCCCCAATTACTTAATGTTTAAGCTTGTGACATCTTAAAATCAAATCAAACTAATATAAGAGCAAGATCATTAATAAAAGTTAGCATAAAAAACAATTCTCGAAAAATACTAAAATGTGTTTGTGCATACACTTAGCGGTGGGAGATAATCAAAATTATTATGAAGTTTCAATAAAGTATGAATCATGAAAAATATAAGAAAAATTAATTAAGAGAATTCATTTTGACATTTTGCATAAATTAGTAAAAAAGTTAACAGCAAGCTACCTTGATTCTTTTAAGATACGATGCTCATTGTTGTCGTTTTCTTAGTGAAATTAAATACGCAAAGATGAAAAAAATGAAAAAGAAAATAAGAAAAAAGGGAGAATCGAAAAATAGTGTTGGATTAAATTCAAAGAAACGTAGAATTATAGGGGAGAATTTGTTTAGGAATAATTTAATAGAGATAATTATTCCAAATATACTTATTACTTAACCATTCATCCTCCATTTTAATTATTCTAAATATTTACTTAACTTTTCTCTTACACTTTAATTATATAAAAATATTATTCATCGTTAATAATTATAAATATTCCTATTATTTGTGAACATTTTTTTATATATATTTACCTTATTTTTTTTAAAAACCAAGAGTCTAATTATAAGCTTTTATTAGATATTATAAGAATTATTTTTTTAATCTTTATTACATAAAACCTTTTAT